AATCCATGTGCATAATATTCTGCTGAGCAAGGAAAATAAGACAAAATATTTCACAATTATTTCAAAATAAATACAATGTAGAGTGTAATAATAAATGCATTTATCTTTATAAAGTCACCTGATCAGAATACATTATTGTGTACTTTTGTGTCATATTCCTAATTTTAGTAAGTACTTTGTTCACTCAGCCCCTACAATGCTCTATTTTCTGCTAAGCTTTTCAATAGCATGAAACAAATTGTCATTCTTAATTCTTGTGCCAGATGATCTAATAAGAAACTCATTCAGGGACATATTTTTAGCTTCAATGAAATATTTGTGGAATATCTAATTACTGTAGTCACTGCCACAGCCTTTAACAAGGATGAATTGGCTATCATCCCTATCCTTAGAAAATTACCTGAGGCTAAAAACTTATCTGATGCTGAGTTAACCATCCTTTTGTCAGCAGAGAAATAACCAAATTTTAGAGTTGACTCCTCAAATCATGAATGAATCCTGTAGTAGTATGTTATTACAGTACAAATTCTGTTTAACATCAAAAATCCTTCAATCATCTTCATAGTTTTTTAGCCTGTGAATGCTTTAAATAGAAATCATTAAAGCTCTTGTATTACATGAAAAAATAAAAAGGAAAGTGGACAAGAGTTCGCCTTCCATTCATTTAGATTCTCTACTAATAGCTGTCTGTCCATTGCCGGCTTGTGCAAGCCTAACATGTCCAGCTATCCAGAATTAGGGATTTTTCAGTAGTAGATGACAGAAACTTGATTCACAGGCCTAAGTGGAAAGTGGGGTGGAGTGAGGAAATGAGGAATTTGTATAACAAAGGATTAGGCATGGCCACTCTAAAGTTGTTTTTTGGCTTCATTCCTAAGACATGCAGAGGTAAGTTGTGGCCATAGGTGGTTCTAGGCCCACATGATCCATCACCAATTTCAAAGGACAGTAACAGTTTCAGCAGAAATACCAAGGTGGCCTCTCACATGTCCATCCCTGAACAACTGCTAAGTGTGGCCATCCGCAGCCCCTATTAATGGACATTTAGGTTCTTTTTAACCTTTTGCTAATATCCACAGCATTGTTTACCTGTAGGGCAGAAAGAATAATACTAATTCTCCCTAAAATACTACCGTAAAAATGACATTTTACTTTTCTTAATTCTTAAGTCTGCTAGGTTTACTACAACTTTCTGTGTCAAAAAAATGAGGAGTGCTTAAGGCAGTATGGTAGCCCTCAGAGAAATGCAAATCAAAACCACAATGATATACCACTTCATACAAACTAGAATGGCTATAATAAAAAAGACATAATAACAGTTATCACAGATGTGGAGAAATGTGAATCCTCACACAGTTGGTGGGAAAGTAAGATGGTGCAGTTGCTGTGGAAAATAGTCTAGCAGTTCCTCTAACAGTTAAACATAGAATTACTATATGATTCAGCAATTCCACTCTATACCTAAGGGAAATAAAAACATGTTCACACAAAAACTTGTACACAAATGTTCATAGCAGCATTATTCATAACAGACAAAAAGTGGAAACAAATGTCCATCAAAATGTGGTATATCCATGTAATGGAATATTATTTGGCAATAAGAAATGAAGTACTAATGCATATTACAACATTGATAAATCTTGGAAACATACTAAGTGAAAGAAGCTAGTCACAAAGAACCACACATTGTATGATTCCATTTATATGAAATGTCAAGAATAGGCAAATCTGTAGAGACAGAAAGTAGTTTGTTGATTGCCTAGGGCTAGGGGAAATGGGGAGGGTGTGGGAGATGATGGCTAAGAGTGTGGATTTCTTTGGGGGTAATGAGAATGTTCTAAAATTGACTGGTGAGAGACGCAACAACTTGGAATATGATAAAAGCCATTGAACTGTATACGTTAAATGAGTGAATTATATGTTATATTTCAAGCTGTTAAAAAAGTATCTTAATAAACACGTTAGTCTACGGCCATGCTATCCTGAACAAGCCCGATCCCGTCTGATCTCAGAAGCTAAGCAGGGTTGGGCCTGGTTAGTACTTGGATGGGAGACCACCTAGGAAGACCAGGTGCTGTAGGCGTAAAAAATAAGGGATTGTAAGCTGACAAGGTCCTTGCAATCTGTGAGGTCAACCAAGGTTGTCTCACCTAAAAAATAAAAAATAAATGAATAAAATAAACACATTAACATGTTTTTGCTTTCAGTTCTTTCTACAACTTCAACAGGCAGCGTTGGAGGTCTTTGCAGAGAATAACACTCTCAGTAAATTGGAGTTGGGACAACTAGCCTCTATGGAGAGCTCTGTCTTTGATAACATGATTAACCTGTTAGAGCGTTTAAAGCATGACATGTTGACCCGTCAAGTAGACCATGTTTTTAGAGAAGTTAAAGATGCTGCAAAATTATATGGAAAAGAAAGGTAAGTCTTCTGTATTTTTTTTATAAGTCAATAGTCTACTCCAGTTTAGTAGAAGTTAAAAGATGGAGTTTGGCCTTTTGCACTCTAAACTTTTAATGTTTCTGATGGAAATCTTTCTAAAATATATTCATTCTTAATCAGTATAAACTGATCATAATTTAACCTTCAGATGTGTTTGTAAATAGAGAGCTGGTGTATGATATGGTCTGAATGGCCTAGCCTGTCACCCATTTTACAAAGGTGGGTGCTCCTGCAGTCCTCTGCATGCTGGCATTGTCCATAACTTTGTGTGGACGACTCCGTTACCTCCACCAGACTGAGCTCCTTCACAACAGGAAATGCCTTTTTTGTCCTAGCACAATTCCTTGCACACAGAGTACTTTTGGAAGTTTGGAAGTGTTATTCCCTGTTTTGCTGAAAATTAGAGCATAAAATTAGCTGATATCTTAAACGGGTATACATTTTAACTTTTATATTTCAGTAAGTCATATTTAAACTGGGGGATTTAAAAAATTTAATCTCATCCTTAAGAGTATTTAATTGAGAGCTAAAGTACAAATATATTTATTTTCTGAGTTTTTAATGTTGGGCTGTACATTTTTCTTACCCAAAATGCACTTCCACAAATTTAAAATGATTTGTTAAATCTTTGAAAATACAAAGTGATGACAATTTTATGGTAAAAATTAATGTGCTACAGGCAGAGCTATTTTTTTTTTTTTCCAGGTGGTTGTCCTTGCCCTCTCAGTCTGAGCAGGCAGTAATGTCCCTGTCCAGTTCGGCTTGCCCTTTACTGCTTACATTACGAGACCGTTTACTTCAGTTGGAGCAGCAGCTTTGCATCTCTTTATTTAAAATTTTCTGGCAAATGCTTGCAGAGAAGCTGGATATATACATCTACCAAGAAGTAAGGGTCGACTATATTTTGGGGTTGTAATGGATGATGAAGGCAACTGTTACATGACCTGTTCTTTATTTCAGATCATTCTTGCTAATCACTTCAACGAAGGAGGAGCATCTCAGTTGCAGTTTGATATGACTCGGAATCTTTTCCCTTTGTTCTCCCACTATTGCAAGAGACCGGAAAATTATTTTAAACAGTAAGCTCAGTATTTAACAATTGATTTTGATGTAGCAAATCGTTGGAGGAGGTTAATTCCTTTTTTTAATGCATTGATACTTTAATTATAACAGCAATAAATGAGATTTCAGAACATAAGCAACATATACAAAATGCTCCTTACAAATGCTTTACATACATCTTTCTATTTTAAGATGCTCATCGTTTCCCATTTTGACATTTTTGAAGTTGATTTATAATAGTTCATCTTAGAATCAGTCATGCCTCTGGTTCAGTAAAATATGGCAACTGATGTAATCGTGTAAGCAACTTTCTAAAGGAGATATCATTTTTATTCCCATCTTACAGATGAGGAAACTGAATCACAGAGAGGTCTTAAGTAACTTATTCAATGTGATATATCCAGTAAATAGCAGAGCTGTGGTTTAAACGTAATTAATCTGCTTCCAGGTTCAAATTTTTAACTGTTATGAGATGTTGCCTCATGGACCCATTTAGATATGACTCAAGTGCCATTTGAACAAGACCTTCTCATAAGGAATACGATTATTAGTTCCATGTACGTCCCATCAATATAAAGATGGCATTAATATGTAAAAAATATATATTATTTTGTGTTTACAGAAGAGTGTATACTACTGTGAAAATCTATTTTGTTTTCATTATTCAAGGTTAATTCCTTTTTTAATAACTTTAGTGTTCCAGTGATGTTAAATATATAGAAAGCATCAAATTAAAAATTTTAAATATTCATTGTGTACCAGTGAAAAATATGAGTGAAAAATATGGGACCTGTGACCCCAAAAAGTTTATCAGAACTGGATATAAATTATATGTTGGGCTTTGTTTTCTAGTATTTAGTTTAATACTCCTATTTGCATATTACTGGAGAAAAAAATAGAGAATGAAAGCAAGTGAAGTTCTGCTATATTCAATAAATGTAAGAAATTAAAAATATGTTTAGTACCTAATATTAGGCCAGCCTTGAAGAAAATATTTTTTTCTTAAACATTTGATATGAATTTTGGTTCTAAGTATAACTAAAACATATGTAAGAAAAATTCTTATTAGTAGTTTTAGAAATTGTTGATGTAAATTTTAAGTTGTTTAGGGCATTTCTGAGATTATAAAGTATTTTAAATTTATAAAATGAAAGATTATTTTTGCTCATTTCAGTGTTTTTTTTTTTTTTTTTAATATCCTACCTTTCTACTGCTCTCATTTCATCCCTTTTCTCTTTTCCCATATCCTAATCTACCTAAAGTCTTGGTTACATTTAATAGAATGTTAACATCAGGTATTATGTTTTGGGGAGTAATGGATCTGTACTGAAAACAGTGATCCTATTACCTTGGAATAATCTAATGATATATAAACTCTGTACACATACATAGTCCTAACATGTTAAAAGAACCAAATAATAAATTCATACATAATTTTTTAGAGGGCATACAGGCTAGCAGTGCAGAGAAGCTATTTAGTTTTTCAAAACGAAATTGTTATAGGATAATGTGGATGATAAAGATAATGGAGATCTCATTTCCATCCCTGTTTTATTTCTTTTAAACAGTGTAAAAGAAGCCTGCATTGTTTTGAATTTGAACATTGGTTCTGCTCTACTTTTGAAAGATGTCCTGCAGTCAGCTTCAGGGCAACCTCCCGCCACAGCAGCATTAAATGAAGTTGGAATTTACAAACTGGCTCAACACGATGTTGAGATTCTACTTAACTTGAGGACAAACTGGCCTAACACTGGAAAATAATGCATCTTTTTTTTTGTTTTGAGTTGGTTTTATTTGAACAAAGAGGGTGCCAATTGAATTAAGTTATAGTGACGTTCCAAATCAATGAAACTGGACAACTGAAAACTTCATAGAATCATTTATTATTTTGGACTTACGATGTTATTAAAATGCTGACCATATTTCCTTAGTCCTCTTGTTCCTGAGAAAACAGAAACAGAAAACTCAGAAGCCATGAAAACTCAGAGTAGTTCCACTTACAAACATAAATGCTGAATATGTCTGTGGAATAAAATAAATACAAAAGCAAAGATAATAAAATATAACCAACTTTCAGTTTTCTATGTTAATTAAGGGAGATTGTTATGGATAATCAAATACAGCAAATAAATTTTTAAAAATCACTTCAGAATGCATGTTTATAATTGAAGTTCCTGTATCTTATTTGGACATTCACTGTCTTTCCCATAGGGAAACACATTATGTGAGATAGTGACTACAATAGGACTGCCCTCATTTTCCACAAATGTCCTTCTGTTTAAAATACTTCCTAGTTCCATTCCATACAACAGTGGGCAACCTTTTCTTTTGGATGAAACATTTCAGGCCAGAGCACTGTACTGCCCTCTTTCCCCTGGGTACGGAATATAATTACACATTTTTTGTTTAACATTTATGTAATTGATGATGAGATGGGAATCTTGAACTTTCTCTTCTAACTTTTCCTTGGCCTTAAAACTATTTGAATCATTTCTTGATTAATAAATCCTCAGCAAGTAAAACTTAAACAAATTGAGTTAGATTAACTAGTCTTTCTTAACTATCAAATTTTATTGCAGTGGTTCTTTGTATTATTAACTATTTTTTAGCATTTATAAGTTATTAAAGACTGATGATTCTGTAGCTTTAAAAAAAACTTGCAATGTTTGTTTTCTGATTTAGCATTTAATTACTACTTTTCCTGTTATAATACTGCAAATCTGAAACTGTTAGTCTGGGATGCAACCTATACTATTGATAAACATTTACTTTGTGATAAATAATATTGAGGAAATATTTTAGAGAAATTCCACTACTCTACAATTTATACAGAGATTTTCCAATTAGTGTATTGAGCTCAAAGCTTTTCCATTACTTTTAGCAGATTAAGGCTTTTCTACCTCATTTTTTGAGAATTGCTGGAATTTTCCATTGAGAAAAGAATAAAGCCACCTCTGGAACCTCCTAACTAACTCCAGCATCTTCTCCCTCCTCTCCCACAAGGCTTAGGGACTTTACTGTCAGCCCTCCCTGTCTTCACTTTCTAGTCAGCTGAAAGTTTTGCAGGAATGAAAAATATTTCTATCAAAAAAGTAGGAACCTCTGTTTTAAAGTGTATTATTTGTACATCAAAATCAGGCCATATTCTTAAATATTACTCATTAGAAAATGAACTTACACTTCAAGCTTGAATTTATCCAAAGTTATTCCATATCCATCATCTTTTAAAACTTCATCTGCAGTACACAGACCTAGGGTATTTAGGGCTGTAAAAGTCAGAATGAGAAGAAAGGAAAATATAAAGTGAGAACTATTTTCAGCTAGAGAAAGTTGAGAAATGACTATGAACTATTATCTCAATTGTATTAGCTACTGACCTTCTTTATACTGCACAAATGATATGGTGCCTTTGCTCGAGGAGTCCATCATCTCGAACATAGCCACAATGTTAGAGTGATCCATAAAGAAAGGAAAAGCCACGCCTGTCATTTTGGCAATTCTCAGTCGTTCCAATAGAGCTACTAAATACTCTCTTGGTTTATCTGTAAAAGAATAGTTTCAATTCTTTCTGATATGAAATTAAAATGTCACAAGTATGTCATAAACAGTCATTTAACAATTATTAACTTGTTCAAGGTACTGTACTAGGAACTGGGGATATAGGCCTTGTGAGAAAGGCAAGACATTGAAAACTTAATTACATATGAGTATAATCTGTGCTCTACCCCAGATGACTGAATAAAACAGTCCAGAGGCTGGACCTGGGCATTTCTTTTAAAAGCTCTTAAGGTGATTCTAATTTGGAGACAAAGTTGAAAACTAAAAAAATTGGAATGGCATGATGCAGGAAAGAAGATTGCCAGCTAAAAGGATGAAATATAAATAAAAACAGACTTCTAGGTTAATATAGTCTTCCAGTTAGGAAGCATAAATGTTCATTCCTAACAAAAGCAGTCATTTGGATAAATAAGCTAGCTTTCATTTAAGCAATGTTAAAAATGAAAAATCAAGACCAATCCACTTTCCACCTATAATGTAGGTCAGTTATGAGGAAAAGAAGCCAGAAGTTAAGGTGGAGCAGCTTTGATGACAAATGCCATACTTACTGCTCCATCACTTTATTTCAATACTAGGCTTTATACATATACATACATACACACACACACATATATATATGTACACATATATGTAGTTATATATAATTCTTTTAAAAAATGTCATCATTGAGAATTTCATACTTATATAAAAATAGAAAAATATAATGAACCAATCACCAACTTCAGCTGTTAGAATTTGTGGCCAGTCTTCATTTTCATCATAATCTTGTCCAGTCCCCCTCTTCCTGTATTATTCTGAAGTAAATCACAGTAATCATATTTCATTAATATTTTAGTGTATATCTTAAAATATAAGGACTCTTTTTTTGAAATTGGGATATGATTGACATACATGTTGTTTTGATACATTTATATATTCCAATGTGATTGTCAATGTAGCATTAGTTAACACCTTTATCACTTTTTTTGTGGTAGGAATTAATATTTAGTCTCTAAGTTTGATATTTCTAACATGGTATTCTATAATTACTGTACTGTGTATTAGAACTCCAGGACTTTATCTACTAGTTGCAAGTTTGTATTCTTAAACAATATCTCTATTCCCCTACCCCTTTCCATTCCATTTATGAGTTTGGATTTTTTAGATTTCACATATAAGTGATATCACATAGTATTTGTTTTTCTCTATCTGACTTATTTAGTGTAATGTCCTCAAGGTCCATCCATGTTGTTACAAGTGGCAGGATTTCTTTCTTATGGCTGAATAATATTCGATTCTGTTTACATATTATTTTCTTTATTCATCCACTGATGGACATTTAGGGTGTTTCCATAACTTGGCTATTATGAATAATGCTACAATAAACACAGGAGTGCATGTATCTCTTCAATATCCTGTTTTCATTTCCTTTGGCTATATACCCAGAAGTGGAATTGCTGGAGCATATGGTAGTTCTATTTTAAGTTTTTTGAAACACATAGTGTAAATATATATATGCCTTACTGTTAAAGTATACAGCTGAAACTTATTGGATTCTGTTAACCAATGTCACCATAAAAAATTAATTAGTTAAAAAAGTAGATTTTTTGAGGATCCCCTGTCTTCCATAGCCACTGAACCAATTTAGATTCCTACCAGCAGTGCACAGGTTCCTTTTGTCCACATTCTCACCAATACTTGTTATCTTTGCTTTCTTAATGATAGCCATTCTAACAGGTATGAAGTGATACTGTGGTTTTGATTTGCATTTCCCTGATGATTAGTGATGTTAGGCATCTTTTCATGTACCTGCTGGCCATTTCATTGTCCTCCTTGGAAAAATGTCTATTTAGTTCCTCTTCCCATTTTTTAATTGGATTGTTTGTTTGTTTGTTTTGTTACTGTTTTGTATGAGGTTTTTTAAAAATATATTTTGAATATTAACCCTTTATCTGATAAATGGTTTGCAAATATTTTCTCCCATTCTGTAGGTTGCCCTTTAATTTTGTTGACTGTTTCTTTTGCGGTACAGAAGATTTTAAGTTTGATACAGTCCCAGTTGTTGATTTTTGCTTTTGTTGTTTTGTGCTTTTGCTGTCATTGCCAAAAAATCATTGCCAAGGCAAATGTCAAGAAGCTTCTTCCCTATGTTTTCTTCTAGGAGTTTTACGGTATCAGGTTTTATATTAAAGGTTTTGATCTATTTTGAGTTAATTTTTGTGAGTGGTATAAGATAGGGGTCCAATTTCATTTTCCTGCTTGTGGTTATTTAGTTTTCCTAACACCATTTGTTGAAGAGGGGACTCCTTTTTCTTTTTCACATGACCACAATACCATTATTAGAATACTATTCACACTTCTAAAATAATTCTTACTATCCTCAAATTTTCAGGTGGTATTCGAATTTCCTGTTGTCTCATAAATTTCATGGAGACCCAAGCGCCATAAAACAGGCTCAACACACAGGAGAGAGGAGAAGAGGATTTTTAGGATAAGAATGAGGGACACCCCTGAATATAACTGTGTAGCTGAGAAATTGAGGAACCAGTCCAGATTGGAGCAGGAAAACAGTTGGGGGGATGGGGTGATGGTGGTGATTACCTGATGAATGTAAATGTAATGAGAGGAGAACCACACTTGTGACAAAAAGAAGACATGGATGAATTAGTGATAATTACATAGAAAATTTAAGCAAACATTTAAAAGATAGTATTATTAATTTCAGGGAAAACAACCAAGGAATACAATCATAGCATACTACATGGATTAGCTGTGGTTATTTGCCCAATAATAATGTAAATTCTGAATACTGGTCATATTAAAATTGTGTTTTAACTTTATTGGGAAGATGGTGTTGAGTGAGAACAGGTGTGAGTGTGTATGTGCATGTGTTTGTGTAAAAGAGCTAAATTTTCATTGTATAGTATAACGCTAAATCTAAACCTTGCGGGGGGGAATCATTAAGAAGTAGCAGTAAAAATCTGTGATTTAGAAACATCAGGTCTTCAACACAAAGGAAATAACTAAAGGAGCCGAAAATCATTTTTTCTGTAGAGTAGGAATCTGGGATAAGGAGGGAATGCTGTTAATCATTATAAGCCTTGCAGTACTTTTTGACTGTTAAACCCCATATATTTAGTTTGATAAAAATCAAAATGAAATTTAAAAATATGTTGAAAAATATTTTAATATAATGAATATTATATCTTGTTAAAATGGGGAAAATTAAAATTTGCCTATATATAATAAATATTAGAGGTTGTTAACATGAATGTCATAACATTTATTTTGAAAAACCAAATGCCTTAAAATCAAGCTATCAGGAATAACAAGTGTTATTTAATTGGATACCTTAGTAGTGATCTATCTATGTGTGTATGTGTATATACATATATGTGTATGTAGTATACATATATACAGAAATTACTGCAAGACTGTTTCACTATCACAGTACTAAACCCTAGTAAGAAACAGTAGTCATTTTTCCAAAATAATTAGTTTTATAGCAACTTTTCCCAGTGCATTTTTTGAAAAGTGCATTCCTGTGTATTTTATTTTTTCCACGTTCCATTAATTTTTATTCATTCCTTTAAACAGATATTGCTTTATCCGTTTAAAACAAATAGAACTTAATCACCCTAGACATGATCATATTCGGTTAAGTGGTTCTTTGGCAAAGTCGGAAAGTTTGGTATTTCCATTTCCTTAAACGGAAATAAATGGATAATTTTGGCATTTTTGACATTCCCTAAGGAGGCCTGCAAGTTACAGTTCCGCATCCTAGGGAAAATGATATCAAGCCATTTCACCTTAGTATAACTTTTAAATCACTGCACAAAAATTATGCAATGATTCAAACTTGTAAGGGGTTTAGAGGTGTAAAAAAAGCATTAGGAAAAGCTGTCTCCTCAAGAACACCCTTTGGTCTAACCCTAAAAATTGCTTAGTTCCCTTACCAGATTAAAAAGTCTTTGAGGTCGGGGTAATATTGGAAACATCTGTTCCTTGCCAGACATAAGGATAATTCATTCATTTACTCTTCCCCACGTTTCCACGAAATCAGTACTATTATCCCCATTTTCCAGAGGAGGAGACTTAAGTTCAGACTTTTGCCCAAAGACACATAGGACTAAGAGGTGAAGCCAGGCTGTGGGACCCAGGAGTCTCTCCCACACCCCTACGAGCCCTCCACCTGCCAGAGTCCCACCGCACCTAGCTAGTGGTAGGCACGAAGAGCCCTTTCAATAAGTACTTGTTTCATTGAAGGCCACCATTGACTGGCAGCACAAGGGCTCAAGCAGCAGAGAGAGAGGATAGTGTGCGTGTGAAGGTGGTGGCGATGGGGTGTTTGGGAGGGACGCGGGCGCCACCAGGGGAGGGCGTGTAGGAATGGCTGTACCGGGGATTTCCGTGGAACCGCTCCGTGTGGGGAAGTGGGCGGGACAGAAAGCCGAGTGGTAGCCAAGACCCTTACCTGGCTGGTAAAAGACCAGGGAGCTGGTGAGATAGTTCAGCAACTCCATTATCCGATGTTTCTCTAAATAATTCCTGGCCTCCAGCTCCCTGCTGCTGCAGGCCTCCATATCTTCGCTTTGGGCCGTTGCTAGACGACCAGGCAGCGTCGCGGCTGTTTGGCCCCGCCCCTTCCGCCGAGACTGTCACGTGACACGCTTGCCCCTGGCTGCGACCTGGGCGGGGAGTTCTACACTTTCCCGTAGAGGTCTGTGGGTTTGGATCGTGCACCGAGGCTTGAGGGAAACTGGCGCCGAGCCCGTTGTGGGCGGATGGCCCCGTCCCCTATCCTGGCTGAGGGCTGGGCCTGATTGTCCTCTTGTTACTGTCTCTAGCACCTAGCTCAGTACTTGTTGATCCAATAAGTGAGATCTCCTGTGCTAATAACACAGGAGGAGCTAACAGAAAGAACTTGTGTAATTCTGGAGGTGTCTAGTGGCGAGTCCTAACTAGCATTTTTGGTACGAGCAGCCTGCAGCTCAGCGCTGGCAATGGAGCAGGAAGGTAGCCTGTTTTCTTTACCTGATTGTGGGTTATGAAGCATGACTGGATCCTGAGATCCAACATCTGTTGCTTAACTAGACTGCATGTACTGGTCTTGTGAGGCAGAGACCACCTGAGAGTAGTTTTGAGGGAGGGTCACAGAGTAAGGTGGGATACAGATGCTAGGAGGGCCTCTACTCATTGTTATATCTGCAAAACTAAACTTTAAGCTGGCACTTATATTTTTAAGGGCCAGGCTCTGAAACCTGTGTCTTTACCCCTCACCAGAACAGGCACTGAAAGAAGAGGACAAATGGCCAATAAACACGACAGACAATATTCTCAGCCTCATTGGCAATCCTATGAATAAAATAAAACTACAAGAAAAGATTATTTTACATCTACCAGACTGATACAAATTAAGAAGTTGAACAACTTCAAATGCTGACAAGATATAGTGCAACAAAACACTGATGATGGGAGCGAAAATTGGAATATCCATTTTAGAAAACAATTTGGAATTGTCCTAGTAATATAAACATGTTTCTACACTATAACCCAGAAATTCCACTCCTAGAGCAACTCATATATGTGTACCAGGGGATATGTACAGAATGTTCACAGAAGCACTGTTCGTAATAGAAAATACTGACAGTAGCCCAAAGGTCACCAAAGCAGAATGGATTAAAGAAACTGTGCTATATTATATAATGGAATACTATAAAGCATTGCAACAATGTATTGTAGCTATTTGCAGCAATATGGGTGAATCTCAAAAACATTGTCTCAAGAATGTATACTGTATGAATCAATTTATACAGAGTTTAAAAACATACAGAACTAAGCAATATATTATTTACAGATTCAAACGTGAGAAATCTTAAGAAATGCAAGGAAATGACACATAAAATTCAGCATAGTGTTTGCCTTGGAGGTAAGAGGAAAGGGAATGGGTTTATGGAGGGGGACTCCAGGGGTAATAGTAATGATGGGTACACATGTGCTCATTGATTATAGTTCTTTATACTTTATGTATACTTTATGTATTTTAAAGAACTATATGTATACTTTATGTATTTTACAATTTAAAAAATCAACTCAACACTTAATAACTATTTTTAAGCGATTGAAAAATAGAGGAAGAGGGGCCAAAAAGTCAATGCCAAAATCTGAACCAAGACTGAAACAGAAGATAGCTGAGATGCTGGTGACATGGTGTCTGAATCTTCAGAGGTCAGGCTTACCTTGAGAAGGCTGTGCCCTGAGCATCTGGGAGAACTAGAGGAGACTTTATGGCTAGTGGTTGGGACATTGACACAAGCCTTAGAAAAGAGGAGAGAGAGTGCTTTGTCATCCAAGTCTGGAGGAGGCATTCAGAGGATGGGAGGAACCCATTCTCTGAAATGACTTGAAAACTTTATGCCCAGATCTGCACCGCAGCTTGGGTTTATAAGAAGAATATTTCAGGAGGATGTAGAGTGTGCTTTGCAAACTTTCCAGCAGTAGAACACTTTAAAGAAATTGTAGGTAGGACCCCCTCATGTAGAACAGATGAGAGAGTACTATGTTAGGATTCACAGGGACCCATTACCTAAGCTACTTGAGTTGTGCTTTATTTCACAGAGGCATGGCTGGTAGCTTGAGTGGTCCTGGTGACAGAATTAACTAGAGACTGGGAAGCCCTGACAGAACTAAGCTGACAAAGCAGATGCATTGCTCCATGGCCTGTGGACCCAAGGGCCCAGTTGGACCTCAGTTCCTGATGGGTTCTTGGGAGAATTTGAAAACTACCGATGTGAGCTTTTATTCTTCAGTGTGTCTTGATCGTCCTTTGGGGACTTGCTTTATGTTCCCTGGTGGAGGTGATAGTGAAACACGAACAGCAAAGCCTAAATTATGTGCGACCCCCCAGCCCCACCCCGAGTCCCAAATCCTTGACTCTTCAGGGTTAACCAAAGATGTGTGATCACTTAGGAAAGTAACTCTGGCTCAGCATAGCAGAGGCTAGACAATGGTAGACGGACTAAAATGGAGAGGGACCCCTGCAGAGGGGATAATGGCTATGGGAAGTAGAAGAGGAGGACCTGAATCATATGAAAAGAGAGGGCTGGTCATGGTGTCCTTTGACTGAGACCAGCATGGCCTGGGAAAAGCAAAGTAAAAAATGTAAGGAATGTCCCTTAATGGAGAGAGAGAACATTGTGTTGGTGCACAGGAGATAGTGATTTCAGCTCAGTGCTCTAAGCTCAAGATATTTGGTCCCGAGAACTTCATTTACTTACTCTCTATGAGTTACTCAGTCCCTGAATATATAGCTCTGCTTTTTGAACCTTAAATGACACTGAAATTGCAACAATATGATTCTCTCTGCCTATGGAGTGAGGCGGAGAACACACTGGACCCTGCTGATGCCTTCCCAAGTTACTGATTGTTTTAATTCCAAAGCATCTGGGTGCCTTTGTCAGCTCAGCACTTCCTTTCATGACATACCTCAGACAGCTATGACCCCAAATCTCCACTTCCTCTGGAAACTGCTAAACGAAGTGTCCAGATGCCACCTAGTGGAGTCAGCTGTTCTCTGTCAAAGCCATCTCTTAAGCCAATTTGGGCTTAATTAATAATCATTATGAACATCATCATTCCTAACACTTCTCCCTTCTTCTTCGACTCCTTGTTCTCCATCTCTTTATTACTATCCTTTTAGTGGTTTGGGAGAGTACTTCAGGTGGAAGGTGTTAATGCAATGGTTCTCAATCAGGGCTACACATTAGAACAGCGTGGGGTCCTTTAAAAAGTACTGAGGCTTCGTCGCATTCCAGGTCCATGAAATTGGATCTCTTGGGATGGGGCCTGAATATTGATAGTTTTATTTTTGTTGTTTTGAACAGCTTTATTGAAATATAATTAACACTTAATAAACTATTTAAAGTATATTCTTTGATAAGTTATGATGTATGTGTATATCCATGAAATCATCACTGCATTCGAGATAAGGAACATGTCTATCACCTCCAAAAGTTTCCCTCCGTCTCTTTCTAGTTCCTTCCTTTCACCTCTCCTTAACCCTGTCTCCCCACCTCCGCTATCACCAGGCAACTGCTGACCTGCGTTTTGTAATCTGTAACTATAGATTAGTTTACGTTTTCTCGAATTTTATATAAATAGAACCATATTTTGTCTACCAGACAAAAATAATTGTATAGCTCACTCAACTAGCTCACTCAAAATAATATATATATATATATATTTTGAGATTTACTTGTGTTGTTGCATGTGTCACTATTTCAATGAGTTAGATTCCATTGTATGGATATACCACAATTGATGGACATTTGGGTTATTTTCATTTCGGAACTTTTACATATAAAGCTGCTATGAACATTTGCATATAGAACTTTGTGTAGACATACGATTTCATTTCTCTTGGTTAAATATCTAGAAAGGGGATAACTGGATCATGTGGTAGATGTATGTTTAACCTTTTTTTTTTTTTTTTTTTAAATTGGGTTGGTTTAATTCCAGGTGGTAAAGAATTCAGGAAAGAACAAAGAATGAACAACACCC